ACTTACTCTCTACAAAATATGTGTACGACCCACCCTTGAATACTGCTCTTTTGTCTTCTCTAATATGAATATCGCAGACAATATAAGAGTAGAAGATGTTCAAAGACGTTTCACACGTCAACTACTAGGATGTAACTCGAATCTCGATTACACAGACAGATGTAAGCATCTATCTTTAGAACCTTTATGGCACCGTAGGCTAAAACACAATTTAATATTTCTCTACAAAGAGATATATGGGCTCTCCTTTCTAACCTCCTGCCCGACTATCACCCACGACCCAGCCTATAGACTTAGAAACAACGCATATACACTACTTACCGTAAAACACCAAAAGCAAATGCGTTGTAAGTTCTTTACAGTACGGTACAGTTTATTGTGGAACAGGCTGCCAATGCCTATCCGTAATTGTGATACGTTTACCAGATTCAAAAAGCTAATAACCCTATTTCTAGACTCCAAAGAGCTTCAACATTACCTTGAACTCCCGCCCACCGATGAGGCACTTTATTACGGACCGCCTAGTATCTAGAAAGAACAAAATTATAACAAGTTCGACTGTTACTAATCTGAATATAACCAAATCACAGGATATGTGGCTTATCCTTTCCTATTATTCATTGTTTATTAATCATGATTTCATGCTCCTAACCCTAGCTTTCAGTCCCCAAATCTCTACAGGTTAAATGTACATTATTCCTCCTAAAAGTCATGCTTTTTTTCTACTGCAAGTAGACAGATAGCTCAATCTTATGGATGCTGATCTACTAAGGCCGATCATTCAAAGCTCAAAATTTGGCCACAAAGTCTTGTGAGTTTCTCAATGTTTTATTTTTCTCACCCTAAAATCTTTTTCTTTTTTTTCTACAATTTTATACCCTCTCATATCTTTTGATTTACTATTAATCCTTACTTCTTTAAACCATTAGTTATTTTCGTAGCAGTGTGATATACTATATGGACATCTAACCCATAAAACAGAATTTTCAAATATCTGATTTGCTTGTAACATGGACCTAGTAGAGACAGTGTATTCCAACTATGTGCTTTGATTAAAGGATTAATCATACTTACCACAAACGTAAGAGAGCCTAACATCACAAAAGGAGGGAGGGTGGCGTTACTGACCAGCAAACATGAAGGTGGGGAGATAACTTCAATCCACCCATGTCTGTAGGGCAGAACATTTTGTTTAATTACGGCTCCTTATGGTTTAGTGGGATGTCACGGACTTATGGTATTGAAGCTGATTTATCACGCAAAATACCTCATTAAATCGTGTTACGAACGTTGAATTGGTTTCACTTCCTACTCAGAAATCCTATTACAAGCAAACTAGACAATTCGCTAATATACGAAGCCTACTCAAGACCCTATAAAACCTGGAAAAAAAACAAATGAAAAAAACAAAAGGGGCTCTAATAGCTTCGATAATAAAAGGAAGACAGCCATTTGTATATCACAATAATGTTTCTAGCACTATATTTTATTTTATAATCGCACATAATCTTATACTCTCAGCTCTTTTCCGAATCGCCTCCATTTGTCAGTTGTATATCCACTCACACCTTGCTAAAGCTTATTTTCTTTAACCTATTAAAATGCTCTTTCTTAACAAATACCTTAATAAAAGAAAATTAGACTGAGTAATCATACCTTAAACATTCCTTCATGAATATTGGCTACTCTGCCTCTCGTGTTTTCTTTTACTTGCTCCCTCTTTCAGCCCCCTTGAGATATGGAACAGGTTACTTCATCCTGCACCATCCTTAAAGCCTTGGATATCCCAAAGGGACATAAGGTTGTGATTTCTAGAAGCTTATACCTTCAATGGATCTATTCTTGACCATCAGTCGCACATTCGCAACGCAACTCTCGTGAAGCGCGCCAACTGTAGTACTGATTAAAACAATCTACATTCATGTCTTATAAATTTTCAACCCAGCTATGTAATTTAATACAGTGTATATTGTATCATTTATATCAATTTGATCTTGCCTGTAAACTGGCATGCCTCATGTAACAAACTGTTATTTGAGAATAAATTATTATTATTATTATAACCTACGACCAGTAGTTGAAGACAGAACACGTTTTGTTTAAAAGATTACCAACCTGGAAACAAGCATCAAATATACTGCAACTAGTGAAGTATTCCTTCGATAATTACGTTGTTAATCATTTCGATATTGATTAAATTTGCCTCTCACATTCGTCGTAGTTTTATTTATGGAACGGAATTTGCATGATTCCAGTGCAAATGTATGTGATAATTCCTTGGTGTTGCTTTTCTTCATGACTACTACTTTGGCTTTCCTTTGATGCTTCGTTTTTTGCGACCCGCATTTATGTGCATTATTCTTCCTTTCTTTGCAAGCATTTCTTACTACTATATTGTCCACAATTTTCAAATGATGGTTCTACTTTCCCATTATACTGCTTTTTGACTTTAGTCGATGGTATATTAGTGAATTTATTGCATATCGTTACTGATTTACACATACACATGACTGCTCTCGGGGGAAAAAGTGAAGGTTTTTTTGGTAGGGACATGTATTACTGTTGAAAGCTTTGAACTTTCGTATTCTTAGTGACATAATAAGAGAAACCGAAGTGTGTATTACACTTTAAGCTCATATGGATTATTTTAGCTTCCAGAAGGCCTGATTAACTAAGTCTCTTCAAGTCACACTTTGACCTTGTTAATCATTCGCTTGTTAACTTTGACTGTTTTAATATGAGCTTATGTGTGTGCATTCCATAACCCACTCATCGCATGTCTGTTACTTTTTTTGTCTTACTATACATGTCAATTCGCACTTGACCAAATTAAGTCGGCTCCCTCGCATTATCCGCTCCTCTTTGCTTCCACATAACTGTTCCGAATATCTGTTTGTATAAACAAATGCTTGAAATAAATTACTACAGTAAAACTCGTAGTTGGCTTATTATTAGCGCCGTCACATAAACATGGTTAGGCTAGGTACAATACGCCAATGGACGGAATGGTTATCATAATAACATATTCATACGTTCATCATAGTTGGAATCCAACCAGCAGGTTGAGAACTTCCTTGAAATATCTACCTTACTAACAAATAACTTAGTGTATAACAACATGTTTACCTAACTTCGACACATTTATTTTATTCATCGTCCGAAATCGTTCGATCTGTAATTATGACCATAAACTTCAAGTTCTCATTTAGACATTCCATTATTACGCATTTTGAAATTTCAGGTCAAGTACTAAGGATTTTTCATAACATATCTCAATATAATGCGATACTGCACTGTGGCATATCGTAATATATAATTTAAAATCGAAACACTCGGATCTCTAAACTATGGATTTCATATTGTTTGTACATTTCGAGTAAGCCAGGACCAGGAGTTTGGTTATAATAAGTGCTGAACAAAAGGAAAACAGCAAGATCCTAGAATACAACACGGAGAACACCGACCAAATCAGACTCGATGGAGAAACTCTCGAATAGGTAGAAAATTTCACGTACACGCACAGCATCATCGATGAACAAGGAGGACCCGGTGCAGACGTACAGTTAATTAGTGGCAAAGCGACGGCAGCATTCCTACAGTTGAAGAACATATAGAACTCAAAACAACTGTCTGTCAACCAACATCAAAGTCACAACCTTCAGTACGAACGTCAACACAGTTCTACTGTACGCAGCTAAAACTTGCAGAACCACCACAACCATCATCAAGAGAGTACAAGTATTTACAAACAATTGTGTATGCAAGATACTCAGTGTCCATTGACTGGATACCATCAGCAACAGTCTACTGTGGGAGAGAACAAACCAGCTTCCAGTTGAAGAGGAAATTAGGAATAGACGTGGGTAGTGGATAGGACATACATTTCGGAAGTCATCAAACTGCATCACGAGGCGAGTGCCCACTTAAAATGCTGAACGGAAACGAAAAAGGGGAAGGTTGAAGATACACTGCGTCTGGAATTGGAATCAGACATGAAAAGGATAAATGCCAAATGGTGGGGATTGCCTACAGTTACAAACCGTTTCATGATTATTATTATCCAATGTAATTTGATTACCAAACATCGAAGTAATTGATATTGCCTAAAATAACTCTTTCTCATACATTATGATCAGGGATAGACGGTGGCTAAAAGTGAAGTCCAGGACGCGCTGTTCATCGTTTTCGAAACTCATCACCTGGATGTACCTGCATCACAAAGTTGATTGTCATTGCAGGACCCGAACCCACTATTGTTCGCTTCAAAGCCGTTGAGTTATCCACTTAGGAACTGAGTTAAAACAGCTACTAGTTTGTGCAATTGTAGTCATAAACATCACTAGGATGACTCAAAAAAACCTGTACAGAATTAAATAAGTTATCACCCACTGAACAAGCTTGTGATTTATTATTATTACGCATGGTTAAGGTGTGAATATTTGACAGGCATTAGTATAAGCTTACAGGATAAATTCACACAGGCATTATCAGGAGTCTATTCATGCCAACACTTTTTCGCTTGTAAAATTAGTAAGTAGTAAGTCTCCTTGTCGTATGTTATTTTAGTGATATTTTCCCGTAAATCTATCAAAATAGGCTTACGGATTACTTTAATTCTGTTAATCCTCGAAACTACCAAGTAAACATTTTCGCCCCCTAGTTTTTTAGAAATGATGTGACAGGAATCACATCTTCTCGTAACCAAACAAGCTCTCCTACTATCAAGACTTTGGTGACAGAAGACCGATCATTCCGCTAATGCTTAACAGCCAGTAATATGAAATGCGCTCAATGGATCAAATCCAAAAGGTAAGAAAATAACTAATATCATCCACCAATCGGGTTTTTATCAAATATCTCTCTTAAACTCTCAGCTTGTAACGTTCTTTAGGCAAACAATATTCAAAACTTCTGCACCTAACCTGCACTCTCGCTATCACAGTACCCAGATTTATTTTACTGCGTTTGGTGAAAGTCCCCATCTTTAATTCCCGATAGTCCCAATGTAATGTTTTTGTAACAAGACTGACGTTTGAGTTCATTTTGACATTGGATTTCGTATGCTGGGGATATTAGAATTCGAGCTGAGGTTTAAAGTTGTGTGACACGTTTAAAATCTGACTGCCACTCTGCTTTCGACCACCAGATTGCCTTCACACCATACATTTACTGTTATTTATTGTCGACTAACTTTATTATTTTGTGTAAGTTGATTCAATATTTTACTGAGTTGTCTGCTCTCATGTTTTGGATTTGACTTTTATACACGTCTATGAATCCTCATACAATTCTTCGCTCACTCAGTGTCCATACAAAGTCATTTCAGGCTCCATGCAAGCTATCTCAGATCTGAGTCCCATCGGTGGAGATGTTTGTGTTAACTGAAATCAAGACATCACACTAGTACTAATGTAATTTCTTAAGAGCTAAAAAATTGAATTTAACGGGATAGGGAGTTGCGTAGTTTGTTGAATTCCGTGGTTTTGACATCACAAAATAACCACTAAATCTCAGATTGACGATCTGAAGGTTAAAACCTCACCCTAGACCCTGAAAGTCTCAGGTTCGGTCTCTGGTGAAGTACAGGATCTACGTTCTGAAGTCTCGTACTAGGACAAGACACGTGTTCTATATTTCCTGGTTTTCACTGGCCTTCTAACTAGTACCCTCTATAGGAATACAAACTCAACCTGTCTGCACTTTATGTAAATATGTCCACGTCCTCATTCGTACCTTTTCTTTCTAGCATTAGTTTTTTGTTCTTTACTTTTCCGTTGATTTCTTGCTGTCCTGGTTATATGTGGCGACTGGGGTATATTTCAGATGTTTTGCTGTATCCGTCAGTAGTTGTTGGTTTGTAATCAATATGAATAGCAAGTTTTTAAGTATAGTTATGAGGACACAAGAAATCACAACTTAGAAATATAGTTAATAATATACAGTTAATAGGACTTAATAGATAGCACACCAAACACTAATAATTTGACACTTGAATTTGCTAAATACCATTTAATATTACTAAAAGAAGTTCACGAAACAACTGGATATCGCCTTTTTTGTGGAGTCTTATTTGCATGATCCCATATCAGATGTGTTCAATCTAATGAAATATTTATCATCTAGCAATCTTAACGCGTTGTGATGAACACTACTTACGTTTATCCTACGCTATTTATCTCTTAATAACTCCTGGATGTAATTATCTAAACTTATTTCACCCCTATTAGACTTGAACGGGACAAATATCACTATGCAGATATACACTTCTGAAAAGCGTGGCTCCGATACAACTGGAGACGGAACAGAAAAAGCTCCTCTAAAAACTATTCTTCAGGCCATCGCTAAGTTAGATGGGAAAATTGATGCGGATACGTGCATCTGGGTTGATGGTGTTGAAAATGAAATGTGGGATCCTGTATCTAAATCGAAACTAAAGAAGATGATCAAACAATATCATATTCAAGAAAGAAAACATGATAAGGTGCCAAAGGGAAAAGTTGTAAGTCTCGCTTGCAAGTAATGTAAGATTTACTTATTCCAGTATTGATGGCTTCTACAAAACCTATTATTTACACATAACTGCGTTATGTAGCCCCCTTGTATTATCATTTGTGACCAACCTAGCCATAGTGACCACAGGATTTTAAATTCCTGTTGTCTGAGTAATTTGAAGCAATCAACTTAAAATCTAAGTAAATATGTGCATCATTTTGGTGCCGAAATCTCGCGATTGTACAAGACATCCATCATAACATGCGATTTCGAGATAAATGCTGCTTAAGGTCACTGATGACACCTTGAGTTTCCTTAATAACTAGTTACAGACTACTGTGTCGACAGTGTAGCAAAAATGATGACTATTATTTGTGTGTATAAAGACAGTCAAGATCTTACTGGATATTCTCTCCGAGTTCATCACTTCAGTAACTTGGTGCGAACCTGTGTGGACTAACAAACTGTTAGAATGCCACACAAGGGTAAGACACCAGTGGGATCCCATGTAAAACTTGTTACGTTTCTTTATCCATCCTGGTAATGCCAATCCTATCCTACATAGTTTGTGTATGTATTCACTCTTGACATACTGAAATATTTGTTGATGGATGTATTAAAAGCACAACTTCATTCAAACGTTCTGTTCATATACATCGATCTTAGCAAATAATATTGCCTCTCAGTAGTAGTCAGTCTCCATAAAATGTTTGGATCAAAGCCGATTATATTAAGCTTGATGAGTGAATTACATGAAAATTAAGAAATATGCTGCTTAGAATAGTAATAAATCTACATTGCAAAGATGTTTAAAGGTCATATGAATGTGAAGATATTTTTAAACGAACCTTTACAACCGTTTCTCACTATCCTGGTATTTATCTTAATATTCATTTAGTTGCTACACAAAGTTCACAATATATTTGTAAATATTAACCGCTCTGTTCCGTAGCATCTGTAGTTAAAAAAACATAAAGCTAACTGTGGAAGCTGTTCTTCAGTGTCTCATGCGCTTCTGAATGTAGTCTATTGGTCGGAACACTGGATTGTCAATCAGTAGATAAAGGGCTTGAATTCAGCCCCACCTATCCTAGTAAAATCGATACACCTCACAGAAATAATATAGCTCACAGCCAAACATAAACTTGTACTGTGTGTGAATTACAGTTTACATACATTTTTTGCCGTTCTTATTAGACTGTTGCATTTCTTTCTCAGCCACCTGCTGAAAACGGTAATCTTAGTGAAGCAGTGGATGCTCAACTGACTTTGGATACAAAATTACCTGAAGCAAAACAATGTAAAATTCGTGATTTACAAACCTTATACGATCAACGTGTACGTGTGTACGGCTGGGTGCATCGAATACGTCGTCAGAGTAAAACTTTAATGTTCATTGTTCTTCGGGATGGTACTGGGTTCTTGCAATGTCTTTTTTCAAACAACCTGGTAAGTTTTGTACAATGATAAGCTTTCTATTTTTGAGTGAATGAAGTCAAGAAATAAGACGTTTACTAATGCATTTGCAACTGATTTCAAAGCATTTCCCTCAAGTTGTTCGATCATAGATCGGTATTGTATCATGTACCTAAGTCAGGAAGTATGGTGAATATGGAGGATTCACCTAGAGAACTTGGAAAACCCTGATCCCAAACCAATGGTTCACATGGGCTCCAGGACCCCGAAGGAACAAATGGTCTACGAACTTACTGTTGGTCACCGGCTACTATGGGACTACATCTACTTATGTTATTCCACTGCCTTGTGGTTCAGACCTCAGAGTCAGAGACTCGGGGAGTGTACCCTAAGGAAACCACCTGCCCCGGCTTGGGTGCCTGGGCAGTATCACAGACCTCACACAAATCAATGATAACTACTACTGGCATTGTCATTGTGTGGCGCATATGTATTTGGTGCCACCTTGTACTAATGTTTCTGTGTTCAAATAAATACATACAAGAATTGCAAACTCCGTACACACCCTAGCCCAAAATTCAATGAATTCCTGGACTACTGTCATGTTTTGAGCTAACCATGTTAATGGGTTACATGATTTATTCAACTTCAATTGAATTCTTCCAGCAGTCAAATTTGGGAGTTTCTAATCATGCTTAAACAGCAGTATTTAGTTTCCATGAGGTGATGACTTCCGCTTGTAATTATCCCTTCGAGTCTCTTCTTATTTTCTCCTTGAAGAGATTAAGTATAGGAAACTGCGATTTTCGATGTTTTCTAAGAACGAATTCATTTAAAAATAACCTGACGAGTGAAGAATTAATTATGCATGTTACCCCTTGTGGAAGAGCATAATCCGCCCACCAGCATTCTCCATCGAACTATGTCCTTTCCAGTCGCGATTAATCCTTTTCATGTCTGATTCCAATTCCAGACGCAGTGTATCTTCAACCTTCCCCTTTTTCGTTTCCGTTCAGCATTTTAAGTGGGCACTCGCCTCGTGATGCAGTTTGATGACTTCCGAAATGTATGTCCTATCCACTACCCACGTCTATTCCTAATTTCCTCTTCAACTGGAAGCTGGTTTGTTCTCTCCCACAGTAGACTGTTGCTGATGGTATCCAGTCAATGGACACTGAGTATCTTGCATACACAATTGTTTGTAAATACTTGTACTCTCTTGATGATGGTTGTGGTGGTTCTGCAAGTTTTAGCTGCGTACAGTAGAACTGTGTTGACGTTCGTACTGAAGGTTGTGACTTTGATGTTGGTTGACAGACAGTTGTTTTGAGTTCTATATGTTCTTCAACTGTAGGAATGCTGCCGTCGCTTTGCCACTAATTAACTGTACGTCTGCACCGGGTCCTCCTTGTTCATCGATGATGCTGTGCGTGTACGTGAAATTTTCTACCTATTCGAGAGTTTCTCCATCGAGTCTGATTTGGTCGGTGTTCTCCGTGTTGTATTCTAGGATCTTGTTTTTTTCCTTGTGTGTGTTGAGGCTTCTACCACACTGGTTGTACAGAGTTTTGATAGATATCCGTTCCCTATGGTGATGCTTATTGAGACACAGAACCTCTTGACACGTTGATGTTAGTGCTTCCTTGATCCGTTTCCTACTGTCCTCCGTAGTAATTCCTTCTCTTTTGAGTTGATCTTGTAAGGTGTGGCACGTGTTGTTGAGAGCTATTTTGAATTCGTTGAGTTTGTGAGTATCTCAAATTAAGGCTCTATTGAACCTTTGTAATGCTGTCTTTCTGGTTGTCCATTGCTTCTTTGGCTTCAGTCTCATCTTGGCAACCACCATGTGGTGATATGAAGCTATGTCAGCTCCTCTCCTGATTCTCATACCTTCTATTGACCTTGTGAACTTTTTGTTGATGCAATTATGATCGATCTGATTCTGTGTAGTGTGGTCCGTTGAGACCGATTGTTTATTTATTTATTTATTTTAACACATAGATATTGGTACAAGAAAGCACCAAATACATATGCGCCACACAAATCTTATTCGATATGTGCGAGGGCTGTGATACTGCCCGGGTGCCCAAACCGAAGCAGGTGGTTTTCTCAGGGGACCACTCCCCGAGCCTTTGACCTAGAGGTCTGATCCACAAGGCAGTGGAGCATCGTAGGGAGATGCAGTCCCATGGTAGCCGGTGACCAACGATTGGTTCATACGCCATTTGTTCCCTCAGGATACTGGAGCCCATGTGCACCATCAGTTTGGGATCCGGTTAAAGCGCCGGACATTCGCTTTTCGTCCTCTCATTTTTGTAAATAACACCCCCGCCACGAGAAGGCAATGAGTAGGACTTCCCTGGCAGAGGCTATATACGCGTGGCCATGTGAGAGCATTTCGAGAGGGAGAGCGGACTTTCCCCACTCTCGGCCGTACCAGGGCATTTGGGGGCACCGATGTAGCTTAGTGTATGCGTTTGTGGGTGAATATTGTGACACCTATATCCGTTTTGTTGAGTGAACATAAGTTTGCGAATCTCTCACCATTCTCGTTCCTTTTTTCAGTCAACCCACATCGTCCCATGATATTTCGATACTCTTTGTTTAATGATGCTTTGACGATTCTGGGTCCATGAGATTTCCATCCTATAAGTGCATTTCGTGCTTCTTTGGACAGTATCAGAGCAACTCCCTGGGTGTGTGGAGCATTTTCCCCTTCTGAATGGAGTACAGCATCATCTCTCCCGAATTTATCTTTTTCTGTCAGGTTTGAACTCAATGTGTTTCACCTATTTCGAACACCGCTCATTTGTGTTTACTGATTTCTGTAGCTATTCGATTGATCCTCTCGGTCTCCCACATTGTGCGGACATTCCATATTCGTATATTAATTGTTGCTGTGGTTGTTAGAAGTATCATCTGCCTCTTGACTTCCGAAAAATCTCGGCCTTCACCATAATGCGTCATAATTCTTCTGAAAGAAGATCATTCAGCTCAAAGCGCAGAACTTAAATGGTTTAGTTTGTTTATTCTGGTTAGTAGTTTTTTAGCAGTGTTGTTTTTAGGATGGTGTTGCTGACCCCACTCAAACTCCCTCTAGCGGGGCTTGGGACCAACATTAGCCCTAGAAGAGCTACAGGCGCAGCTAGTGAAAACAGTTAGGATATATACAGTCGAAGACTGGTCATCCAGGAAAGGCGAAACACCGACACAAAGTAGCTACACTTTGGTTTACGTCAGTCTTATTGAATAAAAACTGTTATCTCTTACTAAATAAAATGATCAGTTTTGTTTTCATCCTAAACAGTATCTGTCATGAAAATCTGGTTTAATAAGAGGGTCTAGAAAAAAAGAGATTAAGAGCGTTCTCCGTAAGGTCACATCAAGCATACTTGATACATTTGCTGGATGAAACCTTATGCAATAAAAATTGTGCTAAACAACAGCCAAAGTATTTTTTGCGAGAAGTATTATAAGTCAATCAAAGTGTGGGACCTCGAACAGTTGCAACTTGATAATTTTCACAAACGAGTAATTTATTATAGTGGGTTTCAACTTGACATTTCTACGGTCAATTAAGGATCACAGTCGACAATGCATTATCTTTAAACCTTTGACGTCGTCTACTGTTAATAATTGTCTTACAAATACATACTAGTGTCGGGCACCAATGCTGGTTGTTCAATAATTTATGTCCATGCTATTAGTATGAGATCATATTACTCGCTTAGATTTCTTCAGCAATCACCTTACGAGGACTGATACAACTTTTAGTCAAACATATTATTTATTGAAACATAAACATTGGTACAATGAGGCACTATATATATATATATATATATATATATATATATATATGCGCCACTCTTCATCATTCGATTTGTGTGAGGTCTGTGATACTGCCCAGGCACCCAAGCCGGGGCAGGTGGTTTCCTTAGGGTACACCCCCCGAGTCTCTGACTCTGAGGTCTGAACCACAAGGCAGTGGAATAACATAAGTAGATGTAGTCCCATAGTAGCCGGTGACCAACAGTAAGTTCGTAGACCATTTGTTCCTTCGGGGTCCTGGAGCCCATGTGAACCATTGGTTTGGGATCAGGGTTTTCCAAGTTCTCTAGGTGAATCCTCCGTGTTCACCCACCTGACCAAATTGCCGGGCATACAGATTGATTCGTAGATTAATTTACTCTATCAATAATTAGCCTATAGTTTTTTTAATCGCTTTCAATTCGACTACATACAATTTATTTTTTTTCATGCCATACTACTTTTTAAGTGTTTAACTCAAGATGCAATCACGCTATCACCAGAATCTACTGTCGAAGTTTATGGAGTGGTAAAACAATTGCCATCTGGTAAGTCAGCTCCTGGTGGCATAGAATTAGTTGCTGATTGTTGGACGATGATTGGTAAAGCGCCAGCTGGTGGTATCGACTCTGTACTAACTGTGGAAAGTGATATAGACACTCAGTTGGACAACAGACATTTGGTTATTCGAGGAGAAAATGTAAGTAGTGTTTAATAATCTTTTTGGTTCCCTCAAAGTTTCTGTTTTTGTGTGAACATAATCACCATCCATAATTATATTTTAAATGAAACGTCAACAATGTAAATCTTTGAACATCGTATTGCTCTCTCTCATTCGATCTCCCTTCCGAATTTTTTTACACCATTTTCATCAGTATCTTCATTGTCTTACGTTTTTGCCATTCTTTTTCCAGCTATCAATCCTTTTCCATTTTAATTTTAAATGTTGCAGCCTTAACCGATGTATAGCATTGTCATTTTAAACCCTTTGTATATTTTTCCCTCAGATGAGGAAAAGAACAACCTTTAGTTCTTAATCTGTAAGGATAATCCCGTTGTTTATATTCTTGACTGGATTTTGATCAGTTCTAGTTGGTATATCTGCATTCTGTAATTATTGTCTCGATATATAGCCATTCTGCTACAAATTTTTTATAAAAGAGGTGGATTGTGGTCAGTATTTGGATATAAGACACTCGTTTTTATCTTATTTTAGACTCGTCAGTTGGGTATACTGGTATCCTAATGTTAATGTTTATGTCCTACCTAGACGATCCGGAGTCACTAACTGGTTGAAAGTTGAATGCTAACACCGATTATGAATACTTACTCATTCTTTTAAAAACAATGTATGCCATTCGAACTGGCTTCCTTCAACGTTCATACTCTAATACGGATCAGACAACAGATAGGGTTGGCTATGTCTCTAAAAAGCCCTAGTATCGATATCTGTTGTCTTCCCGAGACCCGTATTCAAGAATCTAGTGAAGTACTACAAATTCGCCCTCCATCTGTGACCTCTGACGACTGATCCACCTAATGAGGCAGAAGTCCGCAAGGAACTCTAACTCTTAAAGCGCCAGAAATCACCAGACCCCGGCCATTTTTAAAGATGGTGACTTTCTGGTTATGGAACTAATTGAGTTATTTACAATGGTCCGGCAATTAGAGAGTGTCTCAACACAATAGAACTAGTCGATAGTTGCTCTTATATTTAAAAAGGGGTTCACGTCGTTTCTATCAAGGAACCAGTCTATTTCTGATTGCGTCCAAACTATTGGCTGCCGTCATACTTCGTAGATTGTTCAAAATACGAGAAACATTGGCTCGCGAAGAGCAGGCTGGTTTTGGTCGAGGATGTATTGATCATATCTCCATCAAATGTTAGAACACTGACATACTTATTCCAGGTCAACAATCGTTATGTTTCTTGACATCATGGCCACTTTCGACTCGTTGAACAGGACTGTTCTCTGGGATTGTCTATTGAAGGAGGGTGTTCCTGAGAAGTTGATTAACATCTTGAGTGATCGCCTGTAAGACGTTAGTTCAGGAATTAACGCCCGAATAATGTGCATTCTTTTCAATTCATATTGCCGGTAATCATGGTGTCACTGATTGTACTTTCTTGTAAATCATACACCAAAAGGTCATAAATGTTTTACAAACGCGCCTAAATAGGTTATGCGACTAATAGACAATTGGTGTTAAAACAAACAAAGAACAGATAACTTGTTGATATATCTAGATGGCAGGATCAGCTAGCCCAGATATTCAAGTAGGCCACCTATATTCGAGAGGGAGAGTAGTTTCTCATCACCCTCGACCGTACAAGGGTATTTGGGGTCAGTAAAAGTAAAGAATCATAAGACGCATCTCTAAAAATAACCAATGAGATTAAGGAATAAAGTCAGAAATAACATTTAATATTTGATGTTTGTAAAAACGGATTACAAACGCGAATAGATCTATGGTGTTAATGTCGATTATTCTTATTTTATAAACTGTTTATATTTTGTATATATTTTTTATTTTGATACTTCATTTTCAATTTAGACATCGAAAGTGCTCAGGCTCATCAGCGTTGCTTTGGAAGCTTTCCGTGCACATTACCTAGATCGTGGTTATGTGGAGGTTAGTTTTGCTACAAAAGTAGTCTCGTTTCGTATACCCTTAGCCAAAAATTGTTTTATCTAAATATATATGAAGATAAGTTTAATTTTTATAGTCGGTTTACTTCATGAACCGTTATATTCACCAGAGAAGAATGATTGAAAAACCTGGAAGCACTAAATATTTGCGTTGTTTTAGTATTGTACTCCCGTTTATATATACAACTTAGATAATATATATTGTAAAAGGTTTCTTGATATACATATGATAAATAAAGTTACTAAACGATGTTATCACTTATTCATAGCTCTCTTATCCATCATTTTTCAATGATGCATTAATAGTTATTATTATTGTAAGCTCGATTAGTGTTTGATATTTTGTTGACCACCTGCTTCGGTTTGGGCATCCGGCAGTATCACAGCCCACACACACACACAAATATGGTGTGGCGCATATATATTTGGCGCCCTCTTGTACCGATATTTATGTGTTGAAATAAATAATAAATTTTGTTGACCATCAAAATAACACTGATAATCTTCACAATCTAATCAGTCATATTTTTCCTACTGGTCTCAAGTACTTTGTTCTACTAAACCCTCATACTTACTGTTCTTAATCTGCAATGAAGCCGTAAGTAACATCACTCTCCTTTGGCAATTTTCATTTGCGTCGTTCAACACGACAGCCATGATTGTTACCTCCAAGTTTTTCAGATCAAAATGCCCCTCGTAAGAACTTGGTTATATATATTTATATATACTATTCCATTATAACTAGGTCATATACTAGTCCATTCAAAATAAACTTCTGAATAATTTGTTTCTTTTGTTTTTTTTCTAGGTTTTACCGCCGACATTTGTTCAAACTCAAGTCGAAGGCAGTTCTACATTGTTTTCTTTGAATTACTTTGGTGAGAATGCATTCATGTCTCAGTCGTCTCAGTTGTATTTAGAAACATGTATACCTGCCGTAGGTGACTGCTACTGCATAACCCGTAGCTATCGAGCTGAAAAAGTGCGTTTTTACCAACAATCTTTGTTTTCTATTTTGCCACTAATTTAGTGTTGTAGATTCCCATTTGAACACTGTTGGTTGTGCACAGTATTCAGAGCTCGTGAATTTGTTCGCGCTTGCGCAGTTTGTATTGAAAATATATCTCCCGAACTAACGAACCTTGCTCAACTATAAACTGTTTTATCTGAGGGGAATAGATTAAATTTCACTTAGTGATAAGGTCAGGTTAACGGTTGTTCACACATAGTCTAAGTAAACCATTCCTGTTTTAATCAATACAGCAGAAGAGATGCCCCATAGAAATACAGACGGCTAAATCATAAGGTCCTGGTATGGTTAGTGATCGATCGATATTCTCTTAGGATGTTATCTAGTGAACCCCCTCACATGCATTAATTATATGCTAAAGGGAATTGTTCTTTCTCGATTTGCTACTCATTAAATTGTTGGAGTAAGAACGCGAGATCACTACGTGTATGATTGTCTGGTTTCATATTGGGTCGAGCCTGTTTAAAAGTTATACTCCATCCAGTGACATTTATGGCTTCATCTTTGTTGAGTCAATAGTGACCAATGGTATCGGAGCTGCATGTCTATCAATGACGGGGCGGGGAGCCTTGAGATTCATTGAAGCCTTACGTTGTTCTGGACAATCATTACCAGAAATAGCATCTTGTGTTTTATTATTGCAGACTATGAACAATTGTCTGCAATTAAATGTACTCATTTTGGTTGTTTATAATAACCATGGGTTAATTGAACATGTATGGTGTTTCTTTTAGCAGCTACTAAACTCTGATTACCTTGAATACAACTTGAAATAGCACCCATTTTAGCGCAAACGCAATGGTAGAAAATGTTTAAACTCTCGTATAGATTAATATTACCATATGTCAGGCGTCAACATAATTTGATATAGTGGCAGGCGGAAATTTATAATTATCACAAGATGAAACGACGAATTCGCTTACATTATTGAATTAAGCTGTTTTGGCCACTTTTGGACACTGACCAACCAAAATGTTGGCATACCATATCTCCATGATTTTACTCATTATTGCTTCCTTACATAACTTTACTTCATTTAACTCCTCTATTACCTTTAATTATTGTAACAAAACATTTTAATTATCTTATTCCATTCATATTATGATCGTTTGTTAACTTCTTAATTTAACAAGGTTTTTTATTCATCCATACTATCTCTCATTGTTATTATCCATATTACGTAATCCAGCATTATTGCCTTTCTATTATATTATCATGTTTAATCATTGTCCCCATATCCTCTAGGGATTGTGATCCTTGAGATAAATGTTCAAGTACCATTTCGTGTCACACAGTTTCTGCTAGTGTTTTCAAGGAACGCACTATTCGTTGCTAACTATTCCGACTATTCTGTTTTACCCTCCAGTTTGTTGCTGCCTGTCGATAAATTCGCTCAGATACTGAGACGTTCGTATTTGTATACGTATACCCGAACACCGATTACCACGACGTGCAATGCTAACCGGTGTTGGAGATGGTTGGAAGAAGGTTTGGGGCGGCCAAACCAAAACGTGGCATCAGTGCTTGAAGTCACTAACTTCTAGTTTGAGCCATGTTGGTAGATGCAGACTACTTGGTTGGGGTCCTCGTGACTATCGTAACCAATGGTTGGAGACTCTTGGTAACATGGCTCAGAATCGGTCACAATGGCGTCGGTGTATACACTCTCTATCTTCTTTTAAACTAAGAGATTAAAATCGCTTCATATCTTTCTTTCTATGAACTAATTCTTTCTTCCTGTACTATATCCTTATTACAATCTTTCTTTTATATATTACCACCTCTGAATTAACCACTTATATGAATCCGGTGTCCATCTTGTGTTAATGAGGTATGGCAACTTGGACCGATGCATATATGTGCCTGGTCCTACTTTGTGGCTGACTGACTCTAACGCTTCCCAAGTGCCGTCGTTAAAACTCGATTATACAAGTTCTACTGATATGGTGTGCTTCACTTCATTATCACTGAGCCACAAGAGAATCTTGGCTAAATAGTCATCCGATAAATATGCTTCTAGAAATTTCCGCATTATTAGTTTACTACTATTCAAAAATTAGACGATACTTAATGATGATTTCCTGAGAACTATTGGTGTATATTTGATACCTAAAACTTCTACACATTAGTTAGGAGCTTATTGTAGTTACTGATACGCTCTACGTCTATCCCATCTCTATCACCAACTAACGGACCGCTCTCTTCTATTACTGCATGTATATATAATTTCGTTGTAAGTGTATGACTAGTTCCATTTTCTTTTGATATTTTCAGAGTAGAACTCGACGCCATTTATCTGAGTATAATCACGTTGAAGCGGAATGTCCATTTATTGATTTGAACGGTTTATTAGAACGGATTGAAGATTTAGTTGTTGATGTTTGTGATCGCATCATGAAAAAATCCGGTGATCTGTTATTAGATGTGAACCCAGTTAGTTTTGCTCTTGATAACACTGATGATAGTAATTACATATTATGAGTTTTTGTTTTTATTGTTCGCTTCAAAATAATTCTGTTTTTTCTTCAGTTTTCTAATATTATAGAACTAGATATTTGCGGAGATAGTTCATTTCAAAGGTAAATTACATCACTGACTGGTGAATACAACCTACAAATTGAATCAACCTTCACAAAACCCTTTTAACTAGATGATAATAGTTGGCTTGCTGGTGACTAACTTGGAGATATTTCTGAAATTCTAGTTCTAAGTCGTGACTGGTGGTGGAGTTCAAACAAGTTGGGAGTAAAAGGAGTCATCAATAATAATTTTGGATAATCGTTGTACCCCAAACTGGAGGACACTGAAACTGTACTATTAAATGCTTCTACCCAGTGGTTCTAATCGTTGGGCTTTTCTCGTGATGGTGTCCTGAGTTCCGAATACTGAGGAGTCCCATACTGGGATAAAACATTTCTCAATGGCGTCCCAACCGAGACTGTTCTGTAGCGAATACAACCAACGAACTAAGCCAGTCTCCACAAAACTCTTCCAACTAAGTTAGGAAAAAATAATTGAAAATATTTCAACTGTGTTCACACTTACAACCTACTAGGAGTAGGATGTTGAGACTACTTCATCGTTTAATTATATAACTAGTATGTATGTAAACTTGGTTGAGTTGATGAGGATTACTGCATTCTTAAATTGGTACATATTAGTTTTTGGATGTCCATAACTCATAAGCAAATATTCCATGATATCATTCTTCTCCTGTGATTGATTCAAAATTATACTTTTTTGTCATGATTATAGTTACACACTTTGCTTTTTCATATTTGGACAGATTGTTTGTTTGATATCATTTGAAATACGAATTTTTACAGTAAGTACCCGCGACCCCACCAAAGGTTGAATCCACAATAATCAATAAATAATAAATAAATCATGGCGAGAGCGTCAAGTTTAAACATTAAGCGAGTGTGTGGTCAGTATCACTAACTGACTGAATTTGGAAACGTGCACTATTAAGTGTGCCAGATTAACGACATTGTTAGTTTTATACAGCTTAAATTGTTCATACATTGTTCATGTTCACAATGATCAGATTTACATTTTCATATTTCGGTTGATTCTCTTTTTCAGCAATTTAAAATACCTAAAAGTCCTTTTAAACGACTTAAGTACGAAGATGCAATTGTTCATTTAAATAATTTAGGTATTACAAAAGAAGATCTTACACCTTTTCAATATGGTGATGACATTCCTGAGGCTCCTGAACGTCGACTTGTAGACACAATTGGCGAACCAGTTCTGTTAACTAATTTTCCTGCTGGATTAAAAGTTTTCTATATGTTGCGAACTAAAGGTGATCAACGTCTGACTGACTCGGTAAGTAGTTTTTTGTAATTCAAAAATCCCTTTCTTGTTCAATCGGCTTTCAAATAAGCCTTGCATTTTTCATATTTAATTGGTCATGATGTTAAGGTGAGTAAAAAATAACTTATTTGAAACGGTATTTGCCTTCATTTGCATTACTGCTTTTTAATCTATCATCAATACGTATATTTTCAGTTGAATGAATAAATTCAATAGATTCTTGCACCATACTTTCACATGGTCCGTCAGAAAATAGTAATTAGTAGAACACAAAAATAACCTCGAACAATAATCAAATACTTACATGACGAGAAGTAAAGTCTTTATGGATTGGTAGCTAAACAAAGATCGACAACACCATAGTCAAAATGAATCACAGTAACGTTTAAAGATAAAACATTTTTGGTCACTTTTTATTTATAGACAATAGTTAGTTTGACGTCATGAATGGACATCTGCTGTGAAAGTCTAGAGTGTACTGAACAAATGTTTCGTTCTAGTCTACAAATCTTTGCACTCACACAGAATTGGACCGTGCACCATCTTCACATCCACATCACATGGGAACACAATACCTTTAAATTATTTAGTCCTAATGTCTAATACTGCATAATTTCATTGAATCAATTTGTAACATCGTGTTCAATAAAGTACTGTCACACACTGTCCGTTTGATTGGTTTAATAGATTGTCAGTAGTGTACACCCTGTTTAAGGAGTCCAAACCAGAATAATTATGTTAAATAAGTTACATCTTTTGGCTTCATTGATTTCAACATCACTGTGTCTGTTGATTTCGCAGGTTGATCTACTTGTCCCAGGCGTTGGTGAATTAGTCGGTGGATCAATGCGTTTGGATAATATTGATGATCTTCTCAAAGGATATCAGTTAGAGGGAATAGATCCAACTCCTTATTACTGGTATACAGATCAGGTAGTTTGTTGAATATAATGCGTTTAGTGTATGAACAAAATCCATTTTTTTGTATCTCTTAACTATAATATGTTGTCACTGTATTCCCCTTGTTTAGTTTGTTGATTATTAGAGGATAAACGATAATATATTTCGGTATACTTTGCGTTAGATTATCGTGATCAATCATCAGAAAAGTGTTGAATCAAAGTTTCTATTCTTTTTCCGTTCAAACAATCGTGAACACTATATAGAACTTGACGCAAATATGAGTCAGCCCAAATTATCACACTCCACATCATCACAGTTAACAGGATAGAAATGAAAGAAGCTGAAATCATTGTATCTTCGAACTTAGAAAACATGCAATGAATTAAGAGAACGATTGTATAAAATGATTCAAGGTTTGAAGAAAAGTAAACAAACACATCTAAACCATGTACCTTCTTCATTGATTGGTGACATCTCTTGGCTAGGTTACCTTTAATTTTCTTCTGATTCACTCCTTATACTAATCGTCATTTCAATCCCAATGGACTTACCTGGTCGACATAGCTTAATTCCACATTTGCGTCAATAGATATGACCGTAATAGAGCGTCAATCAATATATTTATGTTGCAAAACCCGTAATAGACATTTAGTCATTACCGTTAACTATCAGGTAAATACCTGTATGACTTTCTCAGGGTTTGCTACTCCCTAAATATATAATATATAAAAAACATTTTAGAAACTGTTGTAGTCAAACGGTTTTATTTATCGTTTTCCCTAAAGGATTTTATATACCCTTGGAAACTGTGATGACCTTTGGTTTGAATCAGAATTAGTATGGTCAACTCACAGTCTATTAATGTCTATTAATGTTTGATCACCTCTAGAATTCACCTATCCTAGTCATATCGCTGTCTATGTTCGTTTTTCAACTTAGTTACTTTTTTCTCATGTTCACCCAAAAGTAGTGAATTAGCTTTATCAAAGATGGGTGCTTCCTCCAGAGATATTACGGTGAAAATTAGCCGTTTAGTGTTTCATAACGTTATACTTCCAAATATTTTGTATGTAAAATGCTTTATAGCGTTTACTGTCATTAACATTTTGTTTGTTTGTATTTCTCACCTTTAGCGCAAATTTGGAACTTGTTCACATGGTGGCTATGGATTAGGTTTTGAACGATTTTGTACTTGGCTTTTAGGCAAAGATCATATACGAGATGTTTGCCTATATCCTCGTTTCATGGGTCGATGTCGACCATGAGTAATAGTTTCACCATAACTCCTACATCTTAGTATGAATGTACTCTGTTTTTGTTCGTACATAATCAGTACGAAATTTTTTCATATACATAAATATTTGTCAACACCTTCAATGTTCGATAAGATAATTCACAGTTTGTTGCATTTTTTTCCCAACAAATGATAAATATATATCATACCATTACTGAGGTTTAACTCGACAATTTCAAATATATTGAGCATCTGAATGAATTTTTTTATTCTTATGAAAGTGATAATATATTTATAATATCTGAATGAGTAGAAGATTGAATTTCATAAGTTTTAGGGCTCAGTGTACGTCACTTCTCTGTATTAATTAGTCCTTAATAGTAGTCAATGCGTACCATTAATGATTGAAATTGTCAAAAAATAACAGAAATGCCTATTGCAGTTATTTTGTGAGAATGTGCTGATGTGATTTTTTTAACGTTTCCCAACGCATAATGTTTGTAGCATCAAGGAAATTGATTCTCATTTTGATATTCGAGCTTTTTCATTGTTTAAGGGTAAATAACAACAAATATGTGTTTAATTTTAACTTTTCCCTATTTGAAATGGCAGCCGTTGCGTAATAGTCAAAGACATCCTCGCTGCACATAATTCGGAGTCATTTATCACCAAACGTTTTTCGGCAAAAATATTTGTACAGTTTTCTTAGGCATATACCTAAATCAACAGAGAAGAAGACCATTTTAATCTATATTCTTTCTGTGCATGAAAAACCTGCCACAGTTAACTACACTACTGAACAAACAAATCGTTTAATAGATGGAGTAACAACAGTGTCAAGGTAAATAGTCGTGAACTGTACACTTCTACACATAAAATATTTTACGCTAACCTCATGACTACTTATTTGGTGCTAGATAGGCAAACCCCGGTTAAATATCTGTCAATGCTTCTTATTAATTCCCAGAGATAGATTAAACGTATTTCACTGTTTCGGTCTTCCGAATTTTGTAGTACAGTATTCAAGAGAAAGCAGTCATCTGCGAATTTTTGTAAACGATCTATCGTATTCACGCGAATTAGTCTATCATTAAGAAATACATCGTGATAATACCGAGGCAAAATATTAATGCACCTTATTATAAATTCACGCTCTTTGTTCAGTTATTCATCTAACATGGTGTCTAATTATTACAGGTGACCAATAAAATTAAGCTTGTTACGTTTGTGAATGTTCCTTTCATCTCTGAGTGTGAGGTATTATTGAACGAAGATACATGTTTATAATATCAGGAAGGTTAGGTCGCTGAAACAAAACAATTCGTTAATCGAATTGAACAGCTTAAATTTCAGGTGAAAATAATTTTACGATATCCATGAAAATTTTCACTACTGTTTACTTTTGGGCTACATAACTAGCATATCAGCAGGATTCTCTTGTAAATCACCTCATGATAATATGTTATGATCAGATAGGAAGTTATTGTGAACTAACGAAATTTTTTGTTAACCAAGATAAAGAACAACTCAAGGCAGACCACAGTGATTTGTTTTGTCCCAACTAACTGTATGCTGTGGCGAAGTTAAATAGCATTAAAATAACAACACTATTGGAACACTTCATCTCTACAAGTTCTTCCTTATCTACTGTCTTTGCACTCGCCCTGAGAAATTTGATTCGGTTACTTTTGCCTACCTCTAATGAAAACTACATTGGCTTCGGTAGTTTCCAAATAATTCTCGAGTCGTTCAGCTGTTAATGATTTTTATACATCTATGTAATGCTAGTTTTAAGGCCTTATTTTTTTCTAAACTCTCATTGATTGCGGTATATATCAGCATGAAAACGAATGTCATTTAATTTCTTTCATCCTTCTAATTATTATTCACATCTAATTAGTGACATTTAGAGTAAATTCTCAGTAAAATAGATTTTAGAATTATCAATTAGAATCATAAACAAGGAAAAAACAGACGGTATCACAAATCCCTTTGATTTCACTTAGGTTACATTTGTCAGTTGAGTGGAACTCGTCACTGTACATCAACTTCATTGATTATGAAAAGGCATTCGACAGTGTAGATAGGAGGACATTATGGAAACTTCTTCGACATTACGGAGTTCCTGAGAAGATTGTCAATATTATCCGGAACTCATACGACGGACTACAGTGCAAAGTAGTGCATGGAGGACAGCTGACAGATGCATTCCAAGTAAGGACCGGAGTCAGACAAGGCTGTTTACTCTCTCCCTTCCTCTTTCTTCTGGTGGTCGACTGGATTATGAAGACCTCGACATCTGAAGGAAAACACGGAATACAATGGACAGCTCAGAACCAATTAGACGATCTGGACTTCGCAGATGACCTGGCCCTCCTATCACGTACACTCGAACAGATGCAGATAAAGACAGCCAGTGTAGCAGCAGTCTCTGCATCAGTAGGCCTCAGCATACACAAAGGGAAAACGAAGGTCCTCAAATTCAAAGCGGAGAACAGCAATCCAATCACTCTTGATGGCGAAACTCTGGAAGATGTAGAATCCTTCACATATCTGGGAAGCATCGTCGATAGACATGGAGGTTCAGATGCAGACGTAAAGGCGAGGATTGGCAAAGCAAGAGCCGCATTCCTACAATTGAAGAACATATGGAACTCAAAACAACTTTCAACCAATATCAAAGTGAGAATCTTCAATACGAACGTCAAGGCAATTCTACTGTATGGAGCTGAAACTTGGAGAACTACAACAACCACAATCAAGAAAGTACAAGTATTTATAAATAGCTGTCTACGCAAGATACTCAACATCCATTGGCCGGATACCATCAGCAATAGCCTTCTGTGGGAGAGAACAAACCAACTTCCAGCTGAAGAGGAAATTAGGAAAAGACGATGGAAATGGATAGGACATACATTACGCAAATCGTCAAACTGCATCACGAGGCAAGCCCTAACTTGGAATCCTGAAGGGAAGCGGAAAAGAGGAAGGCCAAAGAACACATTACGTCGGATAATAGAAGCAGATATGAAAAGGATGAATTACAACTGGAAGGAGCTGGAAAGTATTGCCCAGGACAGGGTTGGATGGAGAATGCTGGTGAGCGACCTATGCTCCTTCACGAGGAGTAACAGGTGTAAGTAAGTAAGTAAGTAAGTAACATTTGTCTAATACCACACTGAGTTACAGTACAACGCTAATTAATCACTGTGGTACAAGTGATCGTTAGAATAAAAAAGCAGATATAGTTAATCAATACAGTAGACAAGTTTGTATACTTCTGTTTCAATATGTGCACGTTATTTATACATCATGAATCAACAAACTTTAACCTTGGATTATGTTCATGTTATGAAGATTTGTATTCATCTCTTCCAGTCGTAAACAACATAAGATGTAATTCAGATGTCTATTGATTTAAGTCGCTGTTACATTTCACATTACAACACAGCAATAAAATTAATACAGATAAATAATAGCGTCCTTAAACGAATGGTAGGGAATCCATTTTCGTAAATGTTCATTGAACAAGCTGAAGAACGTTCTGGTGCTTGGAACCGCGAGTGTGAGCATTAACACAACAGTATATATATCCGGCTGATAAGTCCCACCTTGGGAAAAGTATTCATCGTAAACCCTTCTGTTGGATATTTCCAGTGTGTACTTGCATATTACTTGCTGGTAAAATCTCACTTGTAATGTGTCTCAACAGACACTTTAATGAAGCAAGCATCGTTTTACAACAACGTGGGTCACTATCCATTAGGTTACTGAATTAACATGCCCAGAACTTGTGTAGTAGATATTAGTTTTTCGTTCACTTCTATTATTCCTACTATTCTTCACCAAACAGTAGTGATTTATCTTTATTATTAAATGGCAATTACTAAGGAATTCCGTAATATGGTTATAAGTTTAGCCAGTGTTGACCTTTAACCTTGTTACTGAAAATATAATTACGGTGTAACTGATCGATTTTTTACTTGAGGTCAGTCTGATGACCCCCGTTACTACGTTGTAGTTATCTGAGTTTTTAAAATGTGTTATCCTAGTATTGAAAAAACGACTGTCTTGTAGTCATTCAATGAGACTAGCGTGCGGAGGGAGCACTGTGATAAATCGTATGGTCGAGTAGGACAAAGAGCAAAACAACTGACCCAGACAGTTCTACTTGTTCGTTAATTAATAACCGGGAGTGTTGTGATGGCTGTAAAAGGATGAAACTGAATAATATTTGAGTGTCTAGTTACATTTTAGCAAAGTTGGTCTGTAACTAATAGTGGAATACAGAAAGCGCGTTTCGTTCTGTTTGGGACTCGTAAACTTTCATAACTACACAAATACTTGGACGGTTTTATCATGATAACCCTCGTGGAGGAGCATAGGCCGCACACCAGGATTCTTCATACCATTCTGTCCAGGGTAATCCTTTCCATTTGCTATTGATCCTTTACATTTCTGCTTCCAATTCCCGAAGCAGTGCATTCTTCGACCTCCCTCTTTTTCCTTTCCCTTCAGCATTTCAATTTAGCACCAGGATTCACACAAATCAATGATAACTACTACTGGCATTGTCATTGTGTGGCGCATATGTATTTGGTGCCACCTTGTACTAATGTTTCTGTGTTCAAATAAATACATACAGGAATTGCAAACTCTGTACACACCCTAGCCCAAAATTCAATGAATACCTGGACTACTGTCATGTTTTGAGCTAACCATGTTATTGGGTTACATGATTTATTCAACTTCAATTGAATTCTTCCAGCAGTCAAATTTGGGATTTTCTAATCATGCTTAAACAGCAGTATTTAGTTTCCATGAGGTGATGACTTCCGCTTGTAATTATCCCTTCGAGTCTCTTCTTATTTTCTCCTTGAAGAGATTAAGTATAGGTAACTGCGATTTTCGATGTTTTCTAAGAACGAATTCATTTAAAAAAGTAACCTGACGAGTGAAGAATTAATTATGCATGTTACCCCTTGTGGAAGAGCATAATCCGCCCACCAGCATTCTCCATCGAACTATGTCCTTTCCAGTCGCGATTAATCCTTTTCATGTCTGATTCCAATTCCCAACGCAGTGTGCTCCCTATTAAAGCAAAATCGCTCTACCGTGCTCTGTGGTCTTCAAATTTACCGTCAGTTGATGTCAATCTCTGATGTCTACCAGCTACGAATTAAACTCATCTCAAGAAACCTCCCAATCGAATGAGCAAAACCTTGGTGGTGATTAAAAATGCATAAATCATGAAATCTT